GTGCTATAGCCTTCAGGACTGAATATCGAGTTCAATAAATTTTAGGGTCTGGACACCTCCTTCCGTGTCCTTTATCCACTCTTAAGTCCCAGGCTCTGTGATAACATGGGCTGCTTTAAGCATTGCCAACCTATCTTCACCTACTTACAGTCCCCATTATCAGCTTATCCCCTTCCTTGTCTTACTATCAACCATCCCTTTGTCTGCCTAACTGTTTGTCACTCTCTCTGGGCTCTGTCTCCACCTATCCACTCATTCCTTCCCCCCCATCCCCTGTCATCAAGATAAATGTCACCTTTCCTAGCTATTATCACTTCTGAAGATGGGTCACTAGACTTTGTGATGTTAACTCTGCTTTCTCTCCACAGATGCTGCCAGACCTGCTGAGTTTCTCCAGCAATTCCTATTTTCATTTCAGATATTCAACATCCACAGCTCTTTGTTTTATATTACATTGTTGTGGGTCTGAAGTCAAATGTAAGGCCAGACCAGGTAAGGATGGCAGATTTCCTTCCCTGAAGGACAACAGTGAAACAGGTGGGTCTTTATGAAACAGTGGTTATTAGGCTAGTTTTAAATTCCAGATTTTAATTGCATTTGAATTGCACAATCTGCCATGGTGGGATTCAAACCTATGTTTCCAGAACATTAACCTGGTGTTCAGTGGCATTACTAATTTGCCACAACCTCCCCAGGAGAACTACAGTAATCATTTATACAGCCAATGAACACATGTTGAACAACTAACAACCTGCATTTATATAGTGTTTTGATCACAGCAAAATATCTCAAGATTAGCATGGCCACAGGAGATGGGGGAAATTTTTAATTAATATTTCTCTTCAGTGTTTACAAAGGAGAGAGAATCATGAATGCTAAGGAAATACGGGAACCAAGTGGGAATGTTTTGGACCACATACATATTACCAGAGAGAAGGTGTTTGCAACCTTAAAGCGCATTCAGGTGGATAAATCCCCTGGGCCTGATCAAGTCCATCACTGGACATTATGGGGAACTAGGGAAGAAATTGCAGAGATTTTTGCTTCATCTTTAGCCACTGGTGAAGTTCTAGAAGACTGGAAGGTGGCTAATGTTGTTCCATTGTTTAAGAAAGGTAGCAAAGACAAGCCAGGGAACTGAAGGCCAGTGAGCCTGACATCAGTGGTAGGCAAGTTATTGGAGAGGATACTGAGGGACAGGATCAACTAATTTTTCTATAGTCAAGGTCTGATTAGGGATAGTCAGCATAGATTTGTACGCAGGAAGTCATGTCTGACAAATCTTTTAGAGTTATTCGAAGAGGTTACCAAGAGGATAGAGGAGGGTAGGGCAGTGGATGTTGTCTATATGGACTTTAGTAAGGCCTTTGACAAGGTCCTGCGTGGCAGCTTAGTCATGAAGGTTAGGTCGCATGGGACACAGGGAGAGCTAGCTAATTGGATTCAAAATTGCCTCGATGGTAGGAAGCAGAGGGTGATGGTTAAGGTTGTTTCTCGGACTGAAGGCCTGTGGCTAGTGGTGTGTCACAGGGGTCACTGCTGGTACCTTTGTTATTTGTTATTTATGTAAATGATCTGGACGTGAATGTACGAGGCATGATCAGTAAGTTTGCAGATGACATAAAATTAGGAGGTATCGTTGATAGTGAGGAAGGTTATCAAAAATTACACAGGGATCTTGATCAGAAGTTGGCTGAGGATTGGCAAATGCAATTCATTCCAGATAAGTGTGAGGTGTTGCGTTTTGGAAAGTCAAACCAAGGTAGGACTTATACAATAAACGGTAAGGTCCTGAGGAGTGTTGTGGAACATAGGGACCTAGGAGTACAAGTACATAGTCCGTTGAAAGTGGTGTCACAGGTAGGGTGGTGAAGAAGGCATTTAGCATGCTAGCTTTCATTGGTCAAGGCACTGATCATAGGAGTTGGGACGTTATGTTACAGTTGTACAAGTCGCTGGTGAGGCTGCACTTGGAATATTGCATACAGTTTTAGTCATCCTGTTATAGGAAAGACATAGTTAAACTGGAAAGTCTGCAAAGAAGACTTACAAGGATGTTGAGAAAACAAGGTGTAGAGCTGGATGAACACAGCAGGCCAGGCAGCATCAGAGGAGCAGGAAAGCTGATGTTTCGGGTCTGGACCCTTCTTCGGAAATGGGGGAGGGAAAGGAGACTCTGAAATAAATAGAGAGGTGGAGGCGATGATGGAAGGTGGATAGAGGAGCAGATCGGTGGAGAGAAGACGGACAGGTCAGGGAGGCGGGGATGGAGATAGTAAAGGTGAGTGTAGGTAGAGGGCTGGGATGGGGGTTGGTCAGTTGGGAGGGAGGGGCGGGTAGGTGGAAGGGAAGATGGACAGGTCAAGGAGGCAGGGATGATGCTAGTAGGTAGAAAGTGGATGTTGCCAGGATTAGTAGGCCTGAGTTATAGGGAGAGGTTGGCCAAGATAGGACTTTATTCCTTGGAACAAAGGAGAATGAGGGGAGGCCGACTGAAGTGTATAAAATCATGAGGGGCATAGATAAGATGAATACATATAGTCTTTTTTCCCCAGGGATGAGGGATTGAAAACTAGATGGCATAGGTTTAAGGTGAGAGGGGAAAGATTAAAGAGGACCTGTGGAGCAACATCTTACAGAGAGTGGTGCGTACATGGAATGGGCTGCCAGACAGTGATTGAGGCAGGTACAATAGCAACATTTAAAAGACATTTGGATAGGTACATGGATGGGAAGGGTTTAGGGGGATAAGGACCAAATGCGGTCAATTGGAACTAGCTGAGCGGGCACCATGGTCAACATGGGCCAGTTTGGCCCAAAGGGCCTGTTTTTTTGCTGTATTACTTTATAACTCTATGACATGATCAGTGTGTCATGACACTCCACACTTTGGAAGGATGTACTGGCCTTAGAAGGAGCAGAGGTCAAATTTCTCCAAATAATATATGAACCCTGAGGTTAAATTACAAGAAAAGATTCTCAGGTGATGGTTATGCTCCCTGGAATTTAATATGTTATTAGGAACAATGTATAACTAATAAATTAAATTTATATTTTGTGTTAAGAATGGGAGAATGTGGTTTTGTTTCATTTTTAAGTTGTTCTTCATACTGAGAAGTCTGGACGCTTGTTTGTATACATTTAATTTTCATGAGATTTTACAACACTTGCACTGAAGAGATGGTGTCACTGGTTTAGTTCATTTAAAAAAATGTTTAAATGAAAACTGCTGTTGCCTAGTGACAGGGATCCATGGACACAACAGAGTGAAAAATCCAGGTGTGTGTGTGTGTGTGTGTGTGTGTGTGTGTGTGTGTGTGTGTGTGTGTGTGTGTGTGTGTGTGTGTGTGTGTGTGTGTGTGTGTGTGTGTGTGTGTGTGTGTGAGAGAGAGAGAGAGAGAGGGAGGGAGAGAGAGAGAGAGAGAGAGAGAGGGAGGG